GAGTTCGATGCTTTAGCAGTGATTAATGCAAAAATATCGTTGAGGCGTTAAATGCGCCGAATCGCACGTCAGTATACTTAATCAAAGAGTCAAGTTGCAAATATCAAACTGACGAATAGAAATCGTACTTTCCGCTTGACTTTGACACGAGACACGCGGTTTGCGCTTTCAAGTGTATCAAGTATAGTACCGTCCCAATTACACGTGTGTCAATGGACACGTGCGATGGCGAAATCGAAACTTATCCACCTATTCTAGGATCAACGAAGCGAACCAAAGAAAATTAGCGGCAGGATACAGGGATGCGAGCGATGAAGTTCCAAATATATCGTGAATGGCGAGATTGAAGTGCGCGAGCGCAATCTATCATTTCAAGCGCTTTTAATACGACAGTTTGCAATTTGCGTTTCATATATAACATTTCGCGTAGATTGAACCCACACATTCAACAAAAAAATGAAACAATGAACTTTACAGTCACACTAGTCCCCAGCTGCAGCTTTGAAAAATCAATTGAGGTTGATTGATTTCTTCTTTTTTTTTTTTTTTTAACAATCATACTTCAGAAATCACCTTTTTCCAGTGATAAAATGATCTTGCTGAACATTTTTATATATTCGTGTTCCCAAAAGTAATTTAACTTGAGTATCTCGCATGAAATAAATTTTACTGAATTGATGGCTCTCTATGCTGTCACTAGAATATTCGCTATTTCTTGCCGAAATAAATTTCCAAGGAATAACGTGTTACCTTAGAGAAAACGCGGAAATGTAATCGTAAATTTGCGAAATACGAGGGCATTACGATTATCCGGGAGGCACTAATTCCCGATGAACAATTAGACGGTAATTCTCGTCTCTAATCGGAATCGACGGTTCATGCCTCCGACCGACCACCTGTCGCGCGAATTACGACTCTTGGAAGATTAATACTTCGAGCGTGGCGTGGACGTCAATATATGGCTTCGCGACGGAGGAGCTATCGGCTTCTTCGCCTACGTACGAGATTTTCGTGGGTGTCGTTTTTGTTGGAGTTCGATAAAAAGGCAAATAAAGCGTTGACTCGACTCTAAGGTGCTGCTGCCATGATAAATGGTGAATTTAGCAAATAACAGAAGTGCAAAAAAGGTTATATATATTATTATTAATAATTATATAAATATAAAATAGATATTGAAGAGAGACTTTGAAAGGAGATATGCAATTAAAGTATTTTTTAATATTCTTTTTATTAAAAAATAAATTAATATATGTATTTTATAAATAATAAAGAAACTGTGAATAAACTTATAAATAATAAAGAAACTGAATAAACTAGAGCTAAGAGTTTTAATCGCGTCGTTTGCGAAATTCTCCATTATCCATGACCCGTGAGAACGTTTGACTGGTGCTTATCTTTTCGTCAAGAGAATTTCCTGAAAGCGACTAAAAAAGACGAGTGAAAACGACTAAGGGATGTTCCCTTAAGGCGAATCCGATATAGAGAGGTAGCATGATACATCGAGCGGTGACACTTTTATAGCATAGCGAAATGTGTTATCTCTCACGCGATAGATAATACTCCATAAATATTTAATAAACGCCCGTTATACAGCGTATTGATGTGGAGATTTGATGACATAGATAAAGATCGATATCTTTTCTTGCCGACTGTATAGTTTATACACGATTTATGATTGCTACTTTTATTCTGGGGGATATTTATGGTAAGTATTGCAATTTACAGCACGTATCATAGTTAGACAGTTTCAGAAATAAAAATAATAAACAGTAAACACGGGTAAACAGTAGTCTAGATACATACTATATATTTACCGAAATAAATAATCAGCGCGATTTGCAATATCAATATTTTTTAATATGTTATACGACATGTTAGATGTGCAAATAATCTTAAATATATACATGTATGTATATATGCAGACACATGCACAAATAAACATACGCCACATTACATACAAGATAGAACACGGAGAGAATTTTCTCTTAGAATTTACCCTGAAAATTATGGTAATCATGGGATAATATGATATTGGAAGAATTTTATAAAAGTTGCTTTGTGATTAATATTTACCACCAGAAAAATTCTTATAAAATTCTTCCAATACCATATTGTCGCACGATTATTATGATTTTCAGGATAAATTTTAAAAGACAATTTTCTTTATGTATAAATATAGATATATAAAAATATATAAAATAATATAAGATGTTTCTCAGAAAATTGATTTGGATGTAATAAAGATATCTGCAATCTTTTCGCGAATAATTTGACCTTTCAATAAAAATCAAAAGTCACAAGTCAAGCTATTTCAGTTCGGGATTGATCTGCGAGATGTTCCTCGAAATTTTTCGCGGAACCGAGACACATATCGTCTCGCGACCCTTTGCGAATGTCCAACACGACTTCCGCGCCAGCTCAACTCAAGGGCGCGCGACTTCCGGCGCTTCCGCAGGAAGCTGGCTCCGCTACGGAGAGGTCGGCGGACCGAAACTTTTCACCTCTCTAGGTTGAAAAGAAGGGAGTTGCGCGCCGGGAAACTTTGCGCTTACCGGATTAAGTATCGAGTTTAGAAACGTCGGAAACTCGACGCGCATAATGTCGAGTTTGGAAGTCCGATGGTGCGCGAACCGGATGTGACGAGAGAAGGTTTTGCGAAAGACGCGATCAATGTGGCACTTTGCGTTCGTCCCTCTCGTATCGGAATTAAATTGTTCGCGAATCTAAATTTTGAGTCACGCAAAGTTGCAAATTTTTGCAAATTTTTGCAAGGAAGAGAAATTGGAAATAATAATACAATTTAATCCGTGGTGCTAACTCGATATATGATGCGTTCGTTCCTTTCGTATCGGAATTGAATTATTCGCGAATTTAAATTTTTAGTCACGCAAAGTTGCAAAATTTTGCAAGAATAAAGAAATTGGTGAAGATAATACTATTTAATCCGTATGTGGTGTTAATTCGATATGATTCTACTCTCAATTTTATCGCGCAATATTTTCGAGAGAGATTAAAATAATGAAAAATAAATGCGCGCTTTGTGTCGCGCGTTTATTTTAATGAACCGAGAATCGCGGTCGTTTCTTCTGGCACCTTGTGCTGTGGACAAAAAAGGCACGAATCACACGTGGGTTGTGCGTGGGCGAGTTTACACGCATGCTTAACCGGTTCGTCGAACGTGCGATTACGTCGCATTACACGTGCGTTTCCAAAAGCAAATAAAGAAAAATCCTCGTGAGATTTATTATGCGACATTTTCGTTACGACGATTGAGAAACTCTAGTGTTGCACCATTATAACAGATCCTCTGGCCTTTCTTATGACTTGTTCATTTTCCAAGAACTATTTCTCGACATCAAAGCTTCAACATTGTCGAACATCAGATAGATGATTAAGTCTTTTTGTCTTACAACGAAAAATCTCTATTATAATAGTTCGACACGCAAAGAGAATTTGGGGGAAATTATGTACCAATTAGCTTTCCGAGTCGACGCGACATTCATGGTCGGAACCGGAAATTGACAAACGATGCGGCGAGCTTCAAGAGCGTGCAAACACCAAGATCCATCTATCGTGCATTTGCACGAATCAGCGAACTTGGCTTTAACGGGATAATGCAAAACACGAAAGCAACAACAGCGCGAGAATTAATTTGTGCATGCGATGAGCTCGGAAGAGAGAGAATCGAACATCTCAACTCCCGGAGGGCGAAAGGGTGCATCGGGGTGCATCTATATACTGCACGTGACGGACATGCGATTAGTTGCACCGTTGTGTTTCTATCTGGTGCCTTCGTTATTTGTAATTGGACGATTAGCGAGAAATGAGACTCGTGCTCGTGAAAGAAAATGCTCTCGAGGTTATCGCTAAAATTACAATTATGCGTCAAAGGACTTCAGGAACACGTCGCGCGACATCTTCTTCGTGACAGTTTAATCGAAAGCTTTGCACGTGCCGTTTATGAGAGGTCACGTGTTTTTACAATAAACGCAGCAGCCTCGCGCTCAACTGTCGTCCCTGAGTGTCCTTTAACACGTAATTATAACGTCATATAACGGCAGACGTCAGCTGTGATATTTTGCAATATATTACCTTTCCAGATCTTCCTCCGGGATAATCTCTCTCTATCCTTCAATAATTTTTATCTCAATCGTATTTCGATAGGTTCGCGTAAAAATTAATAAAACAAATTAAATATTTGAATATGCATGTGTGCTATCCGCAAATGTTTGCCAATGAAATTCACTATTAAAAAATATCATTCCATGAATACATATGTATTTAATCATTTTCATTTTCCCACATAAAAGTTTTATTTTACGAAAATCATATTATGACATTTCAGTCTGATACATATATATGTTAGAAAATCTAATATTTTTATTAAAAGGATTATTGCAAAAAATAATTAAATTTTTGAAAATCGATATGACGAGAGGCTTGTGAATGTTTAATCGTCAAGAGCGGATATATCTATAGTTGTACATTTTTAATGCCATATCTTGTATATAATGAATGCTATAATGTAGAGTGCATTATAATATCGATTTCAAGAAGCTTTTGCTAATAAACGCGCGCGGTTGCGTAACATTCACAGCCAAAAGGCTTACTACTAATCCTAAGGATGTGATGCTAGTATAAGGATAAGCCAAGTCCCGGTGCGGCTCGCGTATGCAGAGCACGTTTAATGGAATACCCGACGGGATTTCGATCCGAGGGAGCCAATTACCAGCGCAATCGACCGCGGCATAGTAGCCCGGCAACCCAGTAAACTTAACCGCAAGATTTAAACGAATGCGGTCGCGTACTAATATTTAAGGCGAATCAACTCGCCGGGATCACCTGTCTCGAAATTGTTCTCCATCGTTTCGTTCGGATCGGGCGACGAGATTGTCACGATTTACAGGCTCTACAGCCATTTCTCTCCTCTTCCGTTCGCGGACAAGTCGATGAGAAGTATATCTATGTGAAAAAATAGACTGCGTCACACAGGTACTCACCCATCCGTGTTGTGCGTCAGGAAGGACTTTGGCAGCGACAAGGACCTCTGGTGAGGATCTAGGATGATGTCGTCGGTGAGCGAATCCTCGCCCCGGGTCGGCGCACTGCCGGGCCTGGACAGCGTACCATCCTTAGGCGGCTCTATCAGCGTCTTCAGGGAGCCGATCACAGCGTCCTCCATCGGCGTGGATGCGCCAGAGCTCTTGGCGTTTCGCGGGCTCTTCGTCACCGTGCGATCCGACGTGGTGATCCAGATATCGCTGCTCGAGGACGACGAGGTGGTCGTCGACGAAGAACCGACCGGGCCACCGCTCGGTGATCTACTGACGACGTTCATTCCTTGGATAGGAGACACCCTCCTATCTTTGTCAGCGCCTTCGAAAGATCCTGGGAAGTCGGGCTTTCGATATACTCGATGGTGCATTTGATCTCTCTTCTCCACTCCGGAACCTATTTTATTCACAGAAAATATTATAGATGTGAGAAATTGTTTTTCCTGTTTATTAAACTAAAAGTAAAAATAAGCGTTGTTTCATTGAATAAAAAAGAAAATGTTTATTAATATAAAGAAATGCTCTTATATTTTCGTAAAAATTATTGAATTTATAGTGTAATCTCTTTTTCATAATTAAATATATTTATTACAAACCATTGCCGTTAATTCCTTCCAGCGGCGACCATCTATTAGCCTGCTTGAGCACGCCTTTGGATCTGTCTCGATATTTAGAGTTGGTCTGCTGGTTGCTTCTGTTTTTTCTCAGATTATCTCTTTCACGGAGCTCCCGATCATCCATTCGCTCCAGGGAGGCCGGCGATGAACTGGCGCTACCTCGGTGGCTGCCGGTGTCGGAAAGCCTTTGATGCGCCGGATAGCTTTGCGACAGCTTCATGAAAACTGGCTGTGATCCTTGATTTGGCGAATACAGAGTTTCTCTTTGAGAACAGTGAGGCCAGAAGTCGCACGTGCTACTGTTACAGCGCAATTTCGTGTCCGGACTAATGCAAAAGTCCTGATTGACGGACGGTGCGTTTGTATTCGGCGTCGTGGCGCCTCTCTGCAACGTCCGTGGCCGCCGGGATTGCTGTTGTTGTTGTTGCTGCTGTTGCGATTGTTGCGGCTGCTGTTGCAGCTGCGAGGAATTGAATGCTTTCGAGGATTGATGTTGCTGCTGCTGCTGCTTGGAAGATATGATGTAAACGTCGTAGGTGTTAGAAGTGCCTCGTCTTTGCTCTTGATTCTCGTCGCGACGTTCGTAGCGGCTTCTTGGCACGACACGACTTCGTGTACCGTACAAATATTCGGTTACTACTTCCGTTTCCCGGATAAGATTTTCGTTTATGGCGTCATCAGTAGACTGAGCCTTTCCTAAAGGATTTGGAAAAGATGATCGAATACGAGTTGTGAGATTAAACGGATTTAATCTATTTTAATCATGGATTTGATATCACATTCTTCGTAAAAATATTCTGTTTCATTAAATTTTTTATTACATTTTTTTATTAAATTTTATATATTATATGTAATATTTTATATGCTCTTTTAATATTCTATTGATTTTGAAATATCAGTCGTTCTAAAAATAGAATATATTATTCTTTGTTTTTTAAAAATGTTTATATAAAGCTTTGTATTTTATACACAAAATTCTGTTTGAAAATATAAAATATGTGTAGATATAAGAAGATATACATAAAATTGATATTACAAAAGATTGGAGGTAGTTCATCATCGATACATTTTCTAAAAACGATCATTATTCTTTTATAAGAGCAGCTTTATAAAATATGCTTACGAACATCTCTATGCCCAGCATCATAAAATATTCGATACACGTGCGAAGCATCAAAAGATAATATATAAAATATTTGAGAAAGGTTAGATAGACTCACTATTCTGAAGAACGTGGCGCTTGGACCTCTCGTTTCCTCGATCATTCACGATCTTCATGACGACCCTGTGAGCCTCGTTGGATTCTCGAGAGTGATCTCTCTGCGGCCCAGTCGTACCCGGTGACCTTTTCTCAGGCAGCTGGAGACTCCTGGATCTTCTGACTCGGGATTGATGAGAGTCAGGCGACATCTGATTGGTCCTGGCACTCTGATGCTGTCGCATGGCATTACTGCGTCTGAAGAGATTAGGCGTCGGTGACCGTCCTTGTCGCTCCTCGCTACTGGACGAAGAGGATGACGAGGAGGATGAATTGAACATTTGCTTCCCCGACTCGGAGGATCCTGGCGATCTTCTCAATCCTTGTTGGCTTCTGTGGATTCTCCTGCATTTTATAACGCTGCATTTTATTTTCGAACAACATCGCGTGAGATTCTCGTTGTCTAATACTAAAAAAATAAACGCGATGTAATATTAAATTTCTAAATTTTTCCCTATTCTTTTATAATATATGTAGGTATATATAATAATAATTAATATAATAATTTAAAAAATTCAAATTAAAAATGTAAAAATGACTGTGTGTTGTGTAGATAAAAAAATTATTTAAATAAAATTTTTTGTAATGTTTACTACTTCTCTGTTAAAATTCTACTTCTGAATTTCATCAGTTTTCATATGCCTACCCTTGCCTGTTAGGTGAAATTCGTTCGCCGTTGGCGCGAATTGACTCTGTGGACGAGTTCAATGCAAGAGCTGATGACGACACCAGACTGAGATTTAAGGATGAGCTGGGATTATCATCTTCGTCACCATCCTCATATCTAGTATTGAAAGATCGATATTTTTGCGTTGGACATTTTTATGTTTCTCTCGTTTCACTAAAAATGTGCTAGTTTTTACGTATATCGATTTACACGTATATTTTTTTATATTAATAAGAAATAAATGTGTTTGCATGTGTCGTGTATGTGTATTTGCGCTACGTATTTTACTACTGCAATACAATAAGATTATTCCTAATCTACCAAATATTTTTACTCAAGATAAAGCGTGGTGTCATTTTTAAAAAACTAAATTGGCCGACAAAGTCATTACTGTTAATTCAAATTTTTTCACTTACCCTTCAACCGAAGAATCCGTGTTCTCTGCTAGGCTTGGCATAATCGATTTGGTGACGCAGCTGTCGAGACTTCTGAATCCCATCGACGACGACGACGAACTGGACGACTCGATATATCTCTGCGCAAACTGCGACCTTCTGGAGGACGATTGATCCTCCAAAGATTTGGCCTGCGCCATACGATACTGTTGTTGCTGCTGCTGCTGTTGCTGTTGATTGGGATTCTGTCTCTTCGACCTGGGAGGTGCCGAACCGAGACTTTTTCTAGATCCGGACGGTAGGGAACTCCAGTTCACTTGATGAGGCGGAGGAGACGGTGGCGGACTGATGATGTCGCTGTCGACGATGGCGTTCGATCGCGGCAGGAAAGGCGCCTTGCTGCCGTAATTGCTGCGTCCAGCGGAGGAGTGCCTGGAGGAGGATTTTCTGCCGGTGACGGCATCTTGAAAAGCCGGCGGCGGCGATATAATCGGAGTGATCGATGGCGGGGAAAATGATTCCGGGATGCTGTGCGGCGACGTGCAGGCGCTTGTCGTGATCGAGTCGAAGTCCTGGTTGTGCAGCGCAAGATAGTCCGGCCTTTGCGAGTCCAATCCTCTGGCGAAGTCCTGCGGACACTTGCCCGGCTCGCTGTTGCAGTGATAATCCGCTAGTTTAACCGCGGCGCGTCGCGACATCGGCAGAGTGCCGCCGGCGGTGGTCCCCAGGTTGCTCTCGTAGGTCGCGCGACGATTCTCGTCGAGGGACCGCTGTTGCACCTGGACCCAGCCGGAACGCCCCAGGTAAACGCCGTCGACCTCGCGATCGCACCATCGCACGGGTGACAGCTCGCGGCTGCAGTCGCCGCTGATGAACAGCTCGCCCGACGTGCCACTATTACCCGAGAGGAAGGAGTTTGTGGCGTCACGTCGCCGAGAACTGGAGGATACCTGTACAGGCAAGCATTCTCGTCGCTCATTTCCTAAACGTTATCTTAATTCTACTTTTTTCGCGTCACGTTTATTTATATTTGATTACGTTCAAATTTGAATAACGTAAGAAAGTTTGACTTAAAAAAAATTAAATTATATTATAATTATATATATTAGTTAATTTTTTATGTTAGAAAATTGATTTGGAAAATGTATTACATATACTTTCATCATTTTTTTGAAATATATTCTTCAGTAACTAACAGTTCTATATTTACTATGCTATCGTAGTGTTATACTACTTAAGTAGTAGTTTAACTTTAAAGAACTTGACAATTAGAGTTAGTTAAAATCCAAAAAAGGTACGACACTATTATTTCCTATTATTTTTTTTTTTTTGTAATGATTAGAAGATAAAATAATTATGGGATAAATAATATAAAGCCATCTACGGAAATATTAATTAACTCTAATTGTGATTTAACCGATTTATTATCTCTTCTTTTTCGAGCAAAAACAGGATATAAACAAAAAGAATCAACTCTCAACACTTTGATTTGGGAAATATTACCTCTACTTTTTCTCATTATTTTCTTCAATATATTTTTCAGTAATTAACAGTTCTGTATTTACTATGCTATCACAGTGTTATACTACTCAAGTAGTAGTAGTGTTATACTACTTAAGTAGTATAACTTTAAATAACGTGACAATTAGAGAGTTGGTTAAAATCCAAAAAAGGTACGACACTATTATTTCCCATTACCTTTTTTAATGATTAGAATGTAAAATAATTATATGGGATAAATCATAAATAAAGCCATCTTCGTAAATATTAATTACCTCTAATTGTGATTTAAACGATTAATTATCTTTTTATTTTCGAGCCCAAAAACAGGATAGAGACCAAAAAAGAATCAACTCTCAACACTTTTAATTTTAATTAAAGTTTGCAACTTTAATTAATATTAACTCCGACGATCTATAGTGTTATTATCCTCTCGCGCGCAAGCTCGATCTTTATATCTCAGATTTCGCAGATAGACTGACAGAGATGCCAATTTACGTCTAATATAGGAGTCTGCTTACCTGACCATGACTGTCTTGTCGATGCTGCTTAAGGCTTGACGTCGACGCGGTCGACGTGGATGTATCGTGACGTTTCAAGGATGGTATCGAGCTACCGCGGCTGTAGGAACCACGTGCATTCCCGCCGGATTTACCTCTGCTGCCTGCTGTCTGGCTCTTGTTGCTGCTGACGCTGTACGAGGAGCCTTGAGAGCCGACCTCCCAAGGGTCCGCCGACGCGTTGCGCAAATGGAGGATCGACACGTTTGGGCCCCTGCAACCGAAATTTTCCTCCCTTCGAGTTTTACTCAAAAAGCGCCGAGAATATCATACTATCATGATAATCATTTTTTTATTCCGCCACTCATAGCGACGATTATTCTGGAAATGAAGTTTTACACAACTGATTAGCATCTATATGGTGGCGTTAGGACGAAATTCGTTGAATATAAATTTCTATTTTATTCCATGTGTGTTTAATAATAATATTAAATAAATAAACATTTTAATACTCGAGGAATTTAGAGTATAAATTTGACGTTTTCGTTATGTCTCATTTTATTATTTTTTTTTTTTTAATTTTTTAATCTCTTAATTTAATAAATTTTATAAAATTCTATAATTTTTAGTATTTCGTAATTTATAATGAAAATTGATGAAGATGCAATCATACGAGTTTTTTTCGCACAACTGCATAAACTCGTATTCCGTTTTGGTACTTCTTTGATTTGCTATCATCAAATCTCGAATTTCGCTTTATTTCGTTGCGAAAGGAAATCGACTCGCGATGTACTTTTAGTATCTCCGGGGATTTTACGCGACAGTCGGCACAGGAAGCCTCTCGCCTCCGCCGATGTCTTGAAGTAAGATAGATGTGCTCGTTTTTGCTTATATATACGTTTCCTCATCCACTTCTTCCCCTGCTCAGCATCTTCATTTACTTCTCTCTCTCTCTCTCCCTTTCTCGCAATTCGACGATATCTGTATCATACCTGACGGTCCGGCAATGAATATTTATAAAGCGAGATTGTACATACATCACGAACATCTAAGGGAGGAAGAGAGACGCAAAAAGAGGGAGAGAAGACGAAGTTGCATTCAGGTTGCATTGCGTGCATCTATGCATTGGCTAAAAACCCACGAACGTCAGATATTCGGACAGTTTTCCTCGGACGAGATCTTTTCGCGAACAAAAATGCATCCTCGCCTATATCGTTTATTTTTCTACTCTTCCTTTTTGCTTCCGTCGTTTTCTGTGTCCCTTTTTCTCGCGTGCTTCTCGTCGTATAGGAAAAGTTCTGTCACGAAACATCATAAAAATGTTACATTTCACGTTATAGTATTATAGAAGATGGCTTTTTTCCCCAGAAATATTAAGATTAATAAGAAAGAAATTTACGATTTTAGAGCTCGTCATATAAATTTCTCTATAAAGGAAACCAGGGATATAATTGATAGATTGATTATGATTGATCTTTTCGCTACGGCAAGTTCATCGTCCAAAAGATTCACCTTCGTCGCTTGCGATTTTAATGCGCGATCAAAGAAATCTCGCAGAAGATGAGAAAAACGTTCGCAAAATTGAAATTCTCTGGAGGAGAATTCGAGTCGCGTCTCAAAGTCTTGCTGATGCCGCCGTATTAGATGCAATTTTGATCCGCTGGATAAATTCGAAATTAGGTCCTCGAAAGCGCTTTAAGAGCTTTTAGTCAGCAAAGTCATTGAAGGAGACGTGCGATTTTACGAGGGCTTGAACTTAATTTAACGGGGTGTGCTGAAAAGAATTATTGATAAAAAAAAATATATAGCATTATTCATTGAATTTACACGAGGAGAGTGCAAGGCTCGGTATAATTTATGGAACCGTTAATTAAATCGGGCTAAACGTCCACATGGAACTATATGAAACTAGGTGACAAAACGTATTTCGGGTATATTATTCACTGCGAATAACCTTTGATCGATATCGCTCCACATATATGGCTGACGAAACGCGCCGAACAAGTCGAGCGTTCGCTATCGAATAAGACAAAAATATCTGTGTCCTCGATTAATCATATTTACCTCTTAATCGACATGATACGTGGAGTGTCGCTCGCTTCTTTAATCGTGGTGTTTTAAATAGAACCGTTCCTTAAATAGAACGATCTGTCAGTCCAAACAAGAGAATGAGATGGCCACCGTTTTGTCAATCCACAGGCTGCAGAATTGTATTTCTCATTTGTGTTATGTATATCTAGCTGTTATATTTTTCGTCCAAAATCGATTTGCAAATTCGTTAAATTTGCGAGTATGATGATAAACGTAGACAAATATTTTTTCATGATTTATGCTTCATTCATCATGTGCGTTTTAAAATTTTTGTTGTTGTGTAGAAATGTTTTCTAATTATCTTTGCAGATTAATGAGCGGGCGTTCGATCTTGAGAATCTACTGGATTCGGCACTTGTCCAAAGAATTTTAAATGAATTCGTGTAAACAGATTACGTTCGAGGACGAGAGTATCCGAGTGTATAAAGCGCGAGAAGAGACTGGTCCTCGCGACAGTCCGCTGGGCCTCATGAAATTTACATCGTATGTAAACACTACTAGCATCTAGACAGAATCTAAAAGGAAAAGGCAAACTCAAACAGTGACGCGATGGGGCGAATATTTTCGCTCCGTTCCGATACGACACGAACGTTAATCTCGAGATCAGATTTTTCGTCCTGGATGTCTTTTTCAACAACACAAATGAAGAACACTACACTTCTAACAGACACAACAATAATTATTGAACCAAATTTTCCCAAATGCACACATTCGATTTTTTCCAGTTTTCTGCTCTTACACTTCTCGATCCTCCGAGAGCAACGATCAAAAGCACTGCGCGGTGGCCATCAGTCGAAATTCACTCACAGAACATAACGGGACTGAACGGGAAGCAAATGAAATACGACATTACCTGTCGATACGCGAGATAGAATTGGCGATCTCGTTCGCATCCGTGGCCGGATTGACTCTCCGCGGCGGCAAAGCGGGAGGTACGTTCTGACCGGGGGCCTGGCTCGAGGACGAGGTCGAAACGGGCCCTCCAACGCCCACGCTGCCCCCACGTATCCCGTCCTCGGCCGAATGTTGCCTCGAGGCCTGCGAGTTCTGCGACAGCCAGCGGCGCCCGGTCACCACCGTGGGTCCGCCAGGCCCCGGCTGATGACCCACCACGTTCCCGCCGTCCAGCGACGTGCTCTGTAAATCACCGAAAAGATCCAATGTCGTCATTCCTCGTGGCCGTGGGACGTAAACTTGTTAACTAAGGATATTCAGTCGAGAGACAGAAGTATTACACGGAGAGAATTTTCTCTTAGGATTTACCCTGAAAATCATGGTAATCGTGGGATAATATGGTGTTGGAAGTATTTTATAAGAGTTTCTCTGATTAATATTTACCATAATAAAAATATTAGTACAGTAAATTAAATCGAGTATATTTTATATCTTATATTGTGGTAGATATTAATAATTTTATTAATATACGATTACCATGATTTTCAGGGTAAATTTTAAGAGAAAATTCTCTCTGTGATATACATTTCTTCTGTGTAGGTACACAAAGAATTTGCAGAGATAAGTAATAATTTAAAATTTCCGCGATTTTATCGAGAATGTTTCTGAAAAAGGCATCGAAAATCTCCGAAATGTAATCGTGCGTATTACATCACGACGGCATACCAAAGTTTCTCTTTTCTTCCCGCCCGGTTTTGGCTCTCCTTTATTAATCGCGACTCGTTAGCGATTACCATTATCGCCAGCCACGATCGTTCGTTATGAAATTGTGTCAATCGTTAAGAGGGTCCGCGTTAGGGTACCATTACATCGTTACATCGAACCACGGGCTAAACGCGGCTGTTTCTACTTCCAAATACGGTCGAAGCACGTATACGAGTGGCTGGGCAGGCTGGCGCAACTCCGTCGTGTGTCGATGAAAGTATTTTTATCCTCATCATGTGTGACCAAGAAGAGAATTCGTCCGTCGATGAGTCGCGAATCCCGTCGAACGTGCGTGTTGTATTGACTTTTATTACTCCGCGTGTAAACCAATATCCCATTGACGCGCTGCCCGATTTTAGAACAGCTGTCAATTTATTTACAATGTCTTAATCGATCAAACACCGGATAATAAAAAAATTGCCTTTAACAAATATATATATATATATAAATACTTTTTTTAAAACCGGAAATTTCAATCGTTTCAATGTTGTAACTGCGCTATATATAAAGTCAAGAGATTAAAATAATGTTGCGAAATACTGATCAAGGAATTTAATTATTGCGCCAAGTTCTTCTAATTGCAATTGTTTGATTGGCAGTATCAAATACGATTTTAGGCAAAATAATCTCATTTTAAGCAACAAAAAATAAGCTTTTTCAAAGACTATCAAGTACAATCGAATTATCCTGATGCACTCCAAAGCTAATATCATTAATGGTTAATATCGTGAGTGTTGTAAGAGATAACCGTGTCATCCGTTGTCTACATAAAGCACGATAATAAACAGTTTAATTTATAAAAGTGGCTACCAATAAGTTAAATCTCTCTTTGGCAATGAAGTAAACGAATAAAAGATTATGCAATTGAAATCTCGAATACGTACATTCACGTGATTCTTTCTGGACGTAACGGACGAGTCCTGCGAAGATCCTCTTGCGTAATGCCGAGCGAAGACCTCGGCGAGCCTGGACCTTCCCGAGCTCGTAGCATTCGATTTGGATTTATTTGGCGGCGAGCCATCGGCGACGCCCTTTAAATTCGGATTGCTGCTCTTGCGCTCCGGAAACACTAAGTGCTCGATGTTCGGCGTGTATCCAGGATCGCTTCTGACAATATCCTGGAGCGTCACGCGGCTGGGTCCGCCATTACTGCAATAATACATAGTGCCAAGTTTCGTAAATTAATCACGGTTATGTCAATAATGATGTACCGGCTACTTGAGGAAATATAAATATTCATTTATAGAAGACTCGATTTTTAATCGATATTTTTTAATTAATTTCAACAAATTATTTCTTGCAGAAAAAATCTTACAAAAAAATTCTAATATCAATTCTGAACTAGTTGCAAATTATGTTATGAACTGACCTGGGCCCGAAACCTTGCGACTGTTTCTGTCCGCGTCTCTTCCCGCTGCCACGGCCAGGCTTGATATTCGTCGCCTCGGCCAATTGCAGCAAACGGTTTCGATGCTGCCGTAACAGCGGGTCTTCCCGACGATTCATTCTATCCTGTGCACCTGGAATCCTGCATTCTGAAATCATTAAAAAAAAAAAAATAAAAAAGTTAATTAAAAAATTATTTGTTACTTGCTCTTTGGTACTTTTACTGCACAACCATACGATGATACTTTTATAATTGTTATATTTTCAATATTTTCCAGAGTAGAATACAATATTTTTTCAAAATATGATAACAGAAAAAATATGTAATAAAGCTTTGTTAAAAAAACTAGAGAAAAATTGATGTAAAAATAATTTAGAATGTTTGTTTGTGAAATTTGCAGAAGAATAAATTAATCTAAATATTATATAACACACAACGTCTACAACCACAAATAATTTAGTAAAATATATTTTGCTTATAACTTATTATAAAAGAGCGCAAAATATCGCTTTTAATAGTTCTTTCCGCGAATCGTTTGAGATCAGAAGAAAAATGTATACTGCGGACACATTATTTGCGCCGCTTTTCTCACTCGTTTGTTCTTTTATATCTCTTTGATGCAAAGAAAGTAAAGAGAAAGTAGATATATGGAAGAGGGATGAGAAAAATGATGTCCTTTTCTGCCGCAGGAACATCGGTCTGTCAGTTATTGTTTTAGTAGCACGCCTGGGCTGCCTTTAAAAATGCTTTTCTCTCATTTCTCGAATGAGAGATAGTAGTTTTTTACGTAAAACATTATAATTTCATTTTTTTTAGCAAAAATGATAGTTTACTCTTTTATCAATATTTCATTCCATCATATAACATTAAGTGTAATTAAAATTTGTGTATTTTTGCCCAACATTCCATAAAAAAAATCTTTCAATTGGAGATGAAAGAAGCAGAAGATGTAGAAAAAGATGTCGTTTCTAAAGTATATTATTAAAATCACTTTTTGCTTCTCATATTTCAAATGCTCCAGTTTAATATATTCGTAATCTTGAGAAATTCTCGTGAAGACGTTGCATATACTTGATTATACCACTTAACGCATTTAATCTTCGCACATGGCAGCTTTATTATGATAAATAGCAGTGGTGTAAGGAGGATGCAGCTTCTCTCTTTACATTACAATCGATAGCAATACATTTTCTCTATATAATATTGCGCCTGACAGCGGCCCTAATCATCGAGCCTAATCATCGAATATTACCTATCGGGGAAAATTCAAAAAGTTGCTCGCAGATGAATTTAATTTTTCGACACGCAAAAAAAAAAAAAAATAAATAAATAAATAAAACTATAGACAAAATTAACAAGTGATATTCCATGTAAATATTCCGGACATTTGTTTGAATGTTTTAACTCTTTCGTTGCATCATTCAACGTTTCCAAATATGTGGGGGAAAAAATCAAGAGTCTAAAAACAATATTGTAACAAACGTATTGGATGTTCCAGGATTTTCTTTCAATCCAAGATGCTTGCAAGATTGCATCTTGAGTTGCATCTTGAAATTCATCAATCTTGGCCGCAGTTCGAGCGAACATATCTTACAGCCGGCATTTTTTTCATCGCATTCGAACTCGCCAAGTTGATGCTGATGCGCCTTAAGCGACGATTTTACTTCCCATTACAAATCGTTTTCCGATTCCATTAAGAGTCGCCGCTCTCTTTTGCAGCTTCTGGATACGTTGACACGTAATCTGTATTTCAGTTCAGTCGGGCTCAATGAAAACCTCATTGAAAACCGCCTCTTCCGAGAGTGGAACCTTTCCCGCCAGTCTATCGGCGACAATTCCATTTAGTCAAATTTAACAACGATTTTTCCTGTCCGAGTTCCATCGCGCCGCAAAACGTCCGGATAAGACTGGAATCGAGGGATTTAAAAACCAATCTAAAAAGATTCGGCGTGTGTAACGGTTCTTTCTTTTTTTTTAGATCGATTAAACCACCTGGAAAACTACAGATGTTTTTTCGTCCAATTGATTCGAAGTATGTGTGTTAAACGAGATATTTCATAATTTCATTAGAAAGACATAGGGAGCGAAAACATAATTTTGGAGAATCGGGGATCGCGTTGGCGTTGGTGCGTCGTTAGTTTTATTATACGGATTCCGTTCGAGAAATCACGGGTGATTCGAAATGTAATTTGTTGGCCGTAAAAGTATCGTTCGTTTCGAGTTATCGTCGCCGGTGGCAGGTGGGAAAAAAACGCAGAAAACACGGAAGCGGCGCCAAATCAAAGAGCGAAACGCGCACGGGGGATGATCGGATTTGCGTGCATTTGGACAACGACTTGCGAGACGTACGATGGTAACCCGCTCCATAAATTGCGAGTTCTGATTGGGATTTACGAGAGAAAGGCGCAAGCACGCGCGCACGTTGCGGCCCTCTTTAATACGAGAACCACGAAGTGCACCGTGAGTTCTCCAATCGAAATTTATGGTTGGGTACCCTTCGCGAAAGAAAACAGGAAAAATGAGGGAGAATGAATCTCGCTTGCAGAAGGAGATTCTATTGTAAATTCGTATGAAACGCGAACATTTCGCGATATCTTTAATCATTCTTATACCTAACTGATTAAATGATTAAAACGATGTACAAATTATATTAATTAATTACTAATAATTAATATAAATTTTTCTTGTATATATAATATAGGATCAATTTTTTTAAGCAGAGATTCTTAGGGCTGATTTTTTTTATAAACATTTATCGCAATTACAAACTGTCAGAAATATATAAATTTGCACGCAATTAATCTCTGATAACGGATAATAAAGTATTCTTGTCCTCTGTATTAAATCACAAACAGATTTTACTTTAACAAACTCTTGAATTTGCAACTTGATATTTGTAAGTCGATTATTATTTGCAAATTCGGCAATTGCGTGAGACTTCATCCAAGCTGAAATGAAATAGAATGATATGAATATTCGTTTTGAATATTCCTGGTCCGCACAAGCAATGAAAAGGCAGAAATTGCGCAACATAAGAAGGGAAGATTAATATATGATGAGTTTTGGGGAAGGGAGGCTTTTAGTTTAATACAGACGTCATTCTGCTCGAATTTTATCGTCTAGAGTTGTACCCAAGCATCAGATAGAGTCACGTACTCCGATAACATGAGTCCAGATTTGCCGGACATATGTTCCAGGATCACTGCCAACTTGTGCGAAAGAACGTGAATTGCTGACAAAAAATATAATAAAAAAAAAGAAGAGAAAACAATTTTTATGAGCGTCACATAAATGTTGCGCTATCGCCATTACATCAATTATTAGTATAAAAATATAATTGGAATTAAATAAAATAAGAAGTACGAAAATAAATAAATAAAAATAAAAATGTGAAGAATATAAGAGATATAAATTATATAATATGAAATAGGATATACCATATAAAAATATATGTACGCATCATATAAAAACATCTATATTTAAAATCTATATACGTATAAAAATTAATTAAATTCGAAACCTAAAAAAAGTTTTAATCTTCTATTTTATTGTTTTTAAATTGATAAAATAAAATGCCCCGAATAAAATCTTATGTGTCTGCGCGTAATTTAAGAGTCGAGGTGATTCATTAGTATAGCAGGATATCTTTCTGCAGGCGTTGCAATAAGTCACGATAAGTTAAAGAAGATTCGTCGTAACTCCGCGTGTGTAATTTTATAACAAGTATCGTCAGTATCTTAAATTTTTGTTATTAGAAACGAAATTTAGTGTTTGCATATCATTCTACAATTTGATGACAATATTACTGGATTTCTTCCTAATCTCCATATCTCGGAACTTTAATCTATAACCCTAAAGCTCAGTATAGAAAATCAACAAACCGAAAGCAGGACGTGTTAATTAAAAATAAACAATCAGTCATATTTAATAAGTGGATTAAAGTTATCCAGTTATAGTAAAAACTTGAATAAATTTTAACGGAAATCATCAATATGATATAAGCGACGTTAAATATTTTCTCGTATTTTATTAGATATATAAATAAATAATTTACTTAAATAAAAAAATTCTCGTATAAATACTACCTATCAATTAGTGTGTCGTTATACGCAGGAAAACTTTTTACATAAAAATTTATCTCGTTTTTCACAAGTTAGATCAGCTGAAACAAATCAATTCAACGTTCTGCGTAAAGATAACACACACGTAATTAGCAACGCTCGATAGAATATCAATGAGATGGCGAATAGATATTCTTGGATTCATTTAAATCAAACATTATGCTAATTGCAATTAGATGGAATTGAACAAAGAAATGCACGAAATTTTAGCAGCAAATTTCTTTTTATGTAAATAACTTAAATTCATTTCGAAGAACTCTAAAGAATGTAGTAGAATTCTTGCAACACATTTCCGAATATTTTTGAAAGAAAAAACGATTTCTATTTTGTAAATTTCTTGTAAAAAACTACGATTAGTGTAACAAATAAAAGTTTTTGTACGCGATAACATTTAAATGCCAATTTGCGAACAATATATCTACGTATATACAATTACATACGAGATTTATCTGAAGGTTACTGTTCGTGGATAAATACAATGATAGCAATTTCAAGTTAGAACGTAACTATCTGTGTTGAGATAAAGAGAAAGAAAGGAAAAGGAAGAGAGAAAAAGAAAATGACATGTTCGCGAGAACATGATGAATCACGTAAAAGCTCTTCAAGCTTGGCTACCATTGAATTACATCGGATTTTCAGAACTTCGAAAAGCTTTTCAGGAACTGATATTGTCCCTTGATGGCAGAAATTCGAAGCTACCATCATTGTATATATGATAACAGTTTAACTTTTTATTGATTAGTTTTCAAATACCAGTTTGCATGCAATTATAATTTTGTATGTGAAGATTGATTCGTGAAAATTATTGCTTTCTGCTTGTTATCTTTCATTCTTTCATCCCTAAGCTCTTGTTATTCTTTATTTCATAAGTTTTATCAATTAAGGAAAAAGTATTAATAACACTTATAAAAAAAAGAAAAAAAGATAGACTTTTGTGATTATATAATGTGGTTATATTAACAAATCTATTAATAAATATTTTAATAATAATCAATTAATAATTATAATAATTTATATAAATAAATAG